ACCTCCCCCATCAGGCTGGGAGCTCCCCTGGAGCCTTTCCCCCTTCTTTGCATTCCCAGCATTTAGCACAGTGCCTGACACACAGCAGGTGCTTAATAAAGACTTTCTGACTGACAGACTCTCCCACAGGTTCCTTGGAGGGAAAGGGAACATCTGTAGCCTGGATAACTCACAGTGCTAGATCTGCATTCCAGCTTGAACACTTCTTTGCCTCCAAAGCTACTATTTTGGAGATATCTGAGCTGAGCTGTAAGCGACTGGTGGTCATCTGCTTGTTTTCCCTGCCCCAGTTACCCTCTGGTTGCTTGTTGAACCAACCACAGCTGCTATGTTGTCTCTTCCTTTTGAGGAGAGTGGTAGGAGCTCTTTTATGAGCAGTCCATGCCCTGAGCCTATGTTAGTTCTTTTGTGAATCAGATTCACAGTCTTACGCAGCCAGTCAGCCAGCCAGTAAGAATCTTTGGGCCAAGTTTGTCTTTCAAGCTATTTTAATTCCATACCAGCAGCTACTTCCCCAGGAATGGCTATTTGGTTTAAAGTAAGAAAATTCCTTCCAATACCCATCATGCCTTTAGCAGCTAACACCAGCCATGCATCTTACTCTAGAGTTTCACTTTAGTAAGATTGAAAGGAAGGGTGGAACTAGTGACCACTGTCTAGAATGTATGCAGCTGCACCCAAGTAGAAATAATCTGTGTTGTTATATTAATAAAGAACTATTTTTACAGAAGAAGAACTGGTTTGGATTTTTGCTAACTTGTGGACTCTCAGTTATCTATGCCTAAAGAAAGGTTAACTTATTATACAACCAAACTCAAACTATCTTGGTTCCCATAGAAGCAGCTAACTGAATTGAAAGTATATAATGCCTAAGAAGAAATAGTCAGCCAACACCACACAAGAACAATAGAATGCTATGGAATAGAATAATCACAGCAGACTCTCAGAGCTAGAAAGGTCCTAAGAGCTCATTCTAGCATAACTCTTCTTAAAGATGAGAAACCACGACTGAGAGACCAGAGGTGACTAAATGCCACAGAAATGGTCAGTGGTAGAGCCTGGACTGGAACCCAAATTTCCTGACTCAGTATCTGGCACTTTTTCCATTATACCCCATCATCTATGCTCCCATTATAAGATACTTATAAAGTATAAAACACTTTACACGTATCTCATCTCAGCCTCTGTGGCAAAGGTAGGAAAAATATCCCTCTTTTGGTAGATAAGGAAACTGAAACTCAGTAACTAAGTTAAGAAATGTGCCCACTGTCACATGGCCATTAATAGCAGAGTCAAGACCATCATCTTCCGATCACCCCCTGATGAGTGAGGCAGGATGGCACAGTAGAAAAAACACTGGCTCTTGAGTTAAACACTTGGCCTCTCTCTGGGCCTCAGTTTCCTCCTCTATAAAATGAAGAGTTGGACCAGATTAGGGTTCTTAACCTAGGGCATGTGAACTTGTTTTTTAAAAATATATATTTTGACAACTTTATTCCAACATAATTGGTTTCCTTGGTAATGCTATGTATTTTACTTAATGCATTTAAAAACATTGTTCTGAGAAACAATCCATAGGCTTTGCCAGTCTGCCACAAAAAAGGTGAAGATCTCTTGGGACTCAATGGATGCCTTCCAGTTCTAGAGCTCCATGGCTGTGATGGCCAGTGTTACAAGCACCTGACCTCCTTTCTGACCACCTACTAGGAGCAGGGTTCTCTGGTGGAAACTTACGCAGAATATTCTCCAAAGGGCTGGCTTTTATCATAAGGTAAACAAAGTAGGCCCCTCGATGGAAGAGAAAGACAAATACTCACTGGAGACATAAATCATCTATTGTATGCACCCCGTGATTGCTCAGTAATTATTGACTTTTCTCCTGGGAAAACTGCAGTTATCCTTTGCCTGGAAACATCTCTAGAGAAGAGGTAGCGACTAATTTAGAAACAGGCATCTGCTGCTGGTGTAGCCTAGACTTCCTCTATAATCCATGGGGCAATAAAGTCATCAGTGCTTAGAGTTACTGACCAGACCCCTGGCTACAATGGGGGCAGATTATCACATTTCTTTTTCCTGTCAACTAGAGGACCATTTTTCAGACACTAACGTTACTCTTGGGCAGATAATGTACAGCATGGAGCTACAGCTGCATGTCTGTCCTTCTATTTCTACTCAGAAGTGTTTTAAAATGAAATGGAGAGTTAAAAGAAACATAAACATAAACATAAACATTCGAGTTCTGGAAAGAGAACCTGAAGTCAAAACATGTCCTAGACTATCTGCAGCAAGTCCTGGTAATTACATGATAGTGCAAATGGGAAAATCTAATTAGAGGTAATTGACAGACTAGGAGACCATTTAGCCACCAGTTCAAATTAATGAGGATTATAGCTCATTATGGTAGGAATGACATTGTACATAATGTGTACATTATTTTGCACTGTAAAAGCGGGTAGTTTAATTGACATTGTCAGAACTCATGGAACAGTGGTTACTAATTTAAGAGAAACCTGGATTATAAGAATTTTTCTTCATTCATTCATCCATCCAGCTAGTCAACAAAAAATATGTGTAGCCTAGACCAGAGGTGTCCAACATGAAGCCAGCAGGCCACACGTGGTCCACAATGCCCTGAATATGGCCCCAAACCAGATGAAAATGTAGTTACTATCAGATTTTAATGTGTTGATTTATTAATTTTATATACATATATATATGAATATAAATATACACACACACATATATATACATACACACACACACACACACACACACATATATATATATGACATATATGGTTTTCTAAGTTAATATGTGGCCCCCAGGAATCTTTTATGTACCGTTTTATTCTGAGTTGAGTTTGACACTACTGGTCCAGACTGTAAAAGAAGGGGGCATTTTCAAACAAAAATCAAGACATTAGTAGAGATTAGAAAAAAGATCATACAACCCAACCTCCTCATTTTGCAGATTAGGAAACTGAAGACCAAAGAGGTTCCCTGGCTTCCCCGAGCTAACACGTTGGCAGAATCAGCCAAGTGGAATACACCTTCCTAAGGTCATCTGTGAAGTGGGCAGGCTGGACGGGATTCTCTCTAGGGTCTACCCCACTTAGCTCTACGAAGGTGCGCAGAAGTCCTGGCTGCGTCGGTCGGCTAGCTCTCCAAACAAGAGGCATTTGACTGGAGTTCCAATGACAGGAGGAACATAGGCGTGACTGGCGCTCCAGGGGGATGATCCCAGCTGTTGCGAGTTCTCCTGCCATGTTGAACAGATCGTTTGCTTTTTGACAATTGAAACCTACAGAAATGACGTGGACACAACACAGAGTGTTTTCTTCAGGCAGTGATGCATCACTTGGACCTTTCCTTGGTCTCTTCTAAAGCTTTCATGAGTTGTTATTAATTTATGCAAACCCCAAATAGCCAACTAATTACAGGCCCTGAATAACCAAGTTTAAAGCAGTGGCCTTCTACTCTGTCTCACCGTTTCCTAGGAAATACTCTTAAATTCTGACATCCAAAACTCTGGATTCTAAGGTGTTTCATGTTTGCTTTTTGTGTTTTTCTTCTGGGGATGAAGGTGAGAAGGTAATTAAAACTAAACAAATAGAAAACCTTCCCGTAGTAACTCAGCATCTCGAAAACAAAGCCCTTTCAGGGGCTCTGGAGGTAGAGACCTTGCAAAAGCAGCTGGTAGCATGTCCGAGTGAGGCTGGCTTTACTACGAGGCACAAGTGTAGTTTGTCATTAGGGAAGGAGCACTGAACTGGGAGACAGCTGGCCTGAGTTCTAGTCTCTTTTGAGAGACCTTGAAGAACTAATCATTTCTTGCTCCGCACCGCAGTTTTCTCATCTGAAAAATGGCAGTGTTGGGACTAGATGACCTCTAAGAGTTTTCGGTAGAGGATCAAAGCCATTTTCTATAATGAGAGATCAGATTTAAGATGCAAATTCCAGGGGGCAGCTAGGTAGCACAGTGGATAGAGCACTGGTCCTGGATTCAGGAAGACCTGAGTTCAAATCTGACCTCAGACACATAACACGTACTAGCTGTGTGACCCTGGGCAAGTCACTTAACCCCATTGCCTAGCCAAAAAAAAAAAAAAAAAAGATGTAAACTCCACTGAAAGAAAGAACACAATGACACACTATCTCATGAAGTTATAAATGACTCGTACCGGACACTTTGCCAAGAACAGATGGTGTCAGGAGCAACAAGCCAGGACCCCGGTGTCACGCCCTGGTCTCAGCGACATCATCCCCTAAGCCTAGTGAGGAGGATACTCGAGGAGCCTACCTACAAAGATGGTGATGCCTCCCCAGCTCTGCTGCTCCCAATCACTCCCAGAGGCCACCCCTCACCGCTGGAGGAGGGCCAGCCGGGCCCAGCTGGGGCTACTACTTAAGGACCCACCAAAGCTACCCACCTCTTTTTGTTTGTCGAAGGTAAACACTGACAATCAGGGTGTTTAAAATCACTCCACTGAAGTTACTATTTACACTAAAATGCCATGGCCTGAGATAATTCACACTGGGCCCACGGAGTTCTTTTTTAAGAAGTAATTCCACCAGGTCTTCCCAGCTCCAACAATGATCCCAAAGACCAGGATGTTGACTAAAAGAGTAGAATCCTTTCATAATGTGCTACAAATATAAAATGCTCAGATCCCATGAGGAAGATAAGGAAGTATTTCTTCTCTAATCACCTGGTAGTAAATTTAGGCCTGGAGGCATGAACACAGGACACTTTCATCATTTTCTCCCTTGATTCTGCCAATAAAAATGAGGCCTCTCAAAGAAAGAAGTTGTTGGCCAAGTTCACCATGCGCAAGATCCACCAGTAAAAAGTCGGGGGGACCATCCAATTTCAGTATTTTTCCACATCCCTCCTGTTCCAAAACCCTCCAGTCAAAGTCTCCACAGAGAATGTTCATCCTTCAGTAAAGCAAAGCCAAAAGAAGCAAAAAGAGAAAATAAGACTTTGTCCATTAATTCATTCCATCCTGAGCAGGTACCAAAGAAAATCCTGGGGATACATTTATAGGTGGGGCACCATACTTCGGGGTTAGCTGCAGCACACACACACACACACTGCTGACACAGGGTAAGCAGTTACCAAGGGACCTTCCTTTCTTGCAATAAGGATGAAGTAGGACTGGAGCATTTGGATAAATTCATCCCATTCATCTCCTAACACTTCACAATCATTAAATAATCGTTCAGAAAACCTTATACACAGGTCTGCCTGCTGCTCCAGCACATATTTCTACAAAAAAGCAGTCCAATAAAGTGAGTTCCTACTGAATTTGTAAACCAACAGTTGCCCCTGCTCAGACTGGACCTTAGAGTGCCGCTGGCCCATTGTGAAGGGACTTCACCACAGTGATGGATTTTATTCTGTAATCGTTGACCAATTTTCAGTTTTCATCCACCAGAGCCCAAGTGACCTACAGCAACAAAGAAGCCAAGCGCTGACTAATGGTGTTTGCTAAGGTGAAATGAAAGCAAAGACTGTCTAGGATTAAATCCCAGCCTCCATACAAGGCTCTAAACTAAATAAATCCATGAATCGTCTTCTCCCTTTCACACCCTGCAGAAGGGCCACGCTGATGCCTCCCTGGTATCCTGAGTCCTGTAATAAATAAACCTGTCCTGGCCAGGATTTGGCAGTCACTTTATTTACACAATAGAGGTGTTCTTGGAAAAGTGGTCCTCTTTCAAATATATTAGAGGGAGCTTATGTAAAGGGACCTGAGATCAGTTGTTCTCTTTATAGCAGCCTTTGAGTAATGTGAAGACCCACATTGGGATGAATTAGCTTGGTGTGTTTTGATGCTCACATATCAGAATGAATGGAAGGAGCAATCACAGGTATAGTTAAGATGTTCACCTTTTTCTGAAATTCCAAAGGAAAAGAGGGTGAACTGGAACTCAATCACCACCATTTGCTTGCCCTCCAAAGGCATCCATGATTAGGAAAGCTACAAGGAGAATGATGACGGTGGATGAACAGCTGCTTCTAGGGGAGCCCTAATCAGGAGGGCGAGAGGACCTCTGGGCCCACCCAGGAACAACAGCAGGTGTGTTCGCTGAATTTAATGTGGGGTGGGGGAGGAAATGGTGAAAATCTATTAAAAATGAGCATGCATTTGTCCACTAAAGCCAGAAATATGAGGACAAAGGGCCCCTTGGAAACCTGGACCAAATAAAAGAAAGTCATCCAGCACACAGTGAGCTCCTTGTTACAGCGGCCCAGCGAGTTCCAGAAGCTGGTCTGAAGTTTGCTGTGTGGTCTGGCCAGTCAGTAACCTCTTGCAGCCTCCATTTCCTTCTCTGAAAAATTAAGGGACTAGTTGGAGGATTTCTAAGGTCTTCTCAAAAGCTCTAGGATCCTATAAACTAGGCATTAATGGCAGAAAATACAACTACCTTTAAGCATCTGGCCAAGTTTAGGAATGATGAGGCCTCAATGGCTGCAGAGAGAAGCTGGGGTATACAGGGTACCCCAAAAAGCCTTGCTACAGTTTAAGGCCACCAAAGCTATTAAAGCCTGAAACTGTGGCAAGACTTTGGAGGTACCCCATAAGAGCCAGCTGACTGACATGGTAGATAGCGGGCTGGCCGGCCTGGGTTCAAGTTCAGCCTTTATCACATAACTAGCTGTATCGCTGGTCTCTAATTCGATAAGTCCTACCCCGGTAGGGGGAGGCTCTACCCTGGCAGTTGCCAGACCCTCACACTCACAGACCCAGACCACAGATGAGGAAAGGTTATTGCTAGGGAAGCTAACCCTACAGCAAACACTTCCCTTGGGGTCTCTGTTGGCAAGAGGGTCTTGGCTTGTATGTAGATCATGGGGCTAACCTGATATGGCTATGTCTGTGCTTAAACCTCACTGATCTTACAAAAGCAGAAGCAGGTCTAATAATTCAACTCTGTGCTTGCCTTGTTTGGTTTGCCAACTTCTCACGTGTTTTATGTCCTCAACTAAGCTGAATTCCCTGAAGTAACAGTCTATGTCTTCTATAACATCCACAGCACCAGAATGGTGCAAGCACTCAGCACATAGCTGCCGAACGAGTGAAAGTCAATGTTTGTCACTAAAAGTTGGAGGGGCTGATGCCAAGGAGAGGAGGGTGAGACGTGTCGAGCCAACTTTTCAACTCCAGCACTTCCCACAGATTCCTTCTCTGTAAAGAGAAACAAACACACACCTATTATTCCGGATATGTCCGAGCAGTCCGTGCTCTGGAGCCAGAACATCCTGGACAGAGAGAAAGTCAAACCCTCAGGTTACCGTAACTAGGATGGGGCTAATACTCTTTCTGAAACCACCACTGTTTGTTCCTTGTAAACTGTTTTTTGCCCTTGTTTATCACACCTGGGAAAGATTTCCCAATCCAGAGAATGGCTCAAGTCCTCTTCTCCTCGGACTGGGTGAATTTGAAAGCTCTTCAAAAGTGAAAATCAACAAACCTGGAGGAAATGAGGCATTAGCCCAAGACTGCCCACATTTTCCACATCCAACAAAGACATGAGTCATATTTAATGGAAGTAACCACTTCTGTCATGATCTTATGTCAGGATGTAATGATTAAGCAAAAAGGAGAATATGAAGATGTTTTCCAGTTGCTTGATCTAAGGGCTGTTTATTTCCAACGTACTACAACTGTAAGATTCTAGGAGCCTTGGGAGAAAACATGGATTTCAATTCCAGTATGCCACGGGAAGATGGGCAGCCATGAAGTACATGATGGTGTAGTCAAATGAGGTGAGCTCTGGTCCAAGGCGCCTGAGGTTTTCAAAAACAATGTGCTGACTCGGGCAGCTACACTCCCAGCTCACTGTGCAAAGAGTCGGTCTCCAGGCCTGCTGCCCCCGATTCCTGGTGCCGAAGAATGCCTCACTCCCCCAGGAATGAGCAGAACTGCTCCTCCGGCCCCTTCTGAGGGCTGCACTCCTCAGGCACCTTGTTTCACGTGTGGCCGCGTGAATCCTTGCAGCAATTTTGAGGCATGCCTCCCAGTTTTCTCAATAAGGGGGAGCTCAATCAGGAGAGCCAAGGAGGCCGCACCCAGGGACAAGAAGTAGCTCGCCAACACACAGGCCTCCAGATGGGACGACAGTTCTCACACTTGTTTCTTTCTCATTTCTTTCCCTGAATTATTTTATGACCTATCTGCCATGTCCAGCCACAGTCAGAGAGAGAAAACCTCCTTCTCTGCACTACGCTTCTGCCTTCTGAAATCCTTTCCAAAGCCACAAGGAATGACTGAAGCAAATGCCACTGTCACATGGAGTCAAACCACAGGGTTGTTCCCAAGGAAGCCAAGAACACTGGGACTTGCTTTACTTTGTTCGGCAGAATGTAGGAAAAATGCAATGTCGACTGGTTGGGGAACCTCAAAATACCATTTGCACATGAATCTAGGTTTGCAAAATGCTAACTTGGTTATTGTGCAAAGGAGAAAGCTACAAATTACCAATTTTCCTGACATTCACAAAGCTGGGGACTAGACAATTGCAATAAATTAGCATATTGTGTCTTTCACATATTAAAGAAAGCCCTTCCACTCTCCACTCCTTCACCCTCTCCCATGGGCTTGAGCATCTCTCTCTCGAGATTGGCAGACAAAGGCTGACTCAGGTACATGGAAGAGGGTGAATGGACATTCTTCTTTTATTACAAAAGAGATGACATGAAAGAAAAAAAAGGAGTCAGAACGTCCCCTTCAGTGCTAAGGTTATAATGAGAAAGCGAAATCCAGTACTCTAACCTCTGCACCACCTAGCTACCTAGAACAAAGATGAAAGTACTTTTTTGGAAAGGCATGAATATGAATCAGTAAAATAAAGGGGAGTGAGATTTCAGTTTATTGGCATTCCTCTCTTGCCAGGTGTTGATAGGAGTGTCTTATACTCCTGCAAACACCACAAGTAGGGGGCCGAATCAAGGCAGCGGCTGCCCTACTACATGCTGTCACTCACATCCCAGGTGTTTATGCAGACTGACGATGCCTCAGACATGACACTGACCGCATGGCCTTCAGAGTGAGTCCCTCTGCCAGGAGCTGGGCAAAGGTCACTGAAGGTCTTTTCTTTACCAAACTTCTTGGGGCGTACAGCCTCTCCAGATGTCTGACAAGATACACCCATGGAGTGATAGAAGGCAGGCTCTTGGGAAAGTTCTTAAGGGTTCAGAGACCCAGAAGAATTAGCCTCCAACTGAAATGAGAGCTCTCCTGCACGATGTCATTGTACAAATGTAATTTTCTGGTCAAGACGAGCTTATGGTTTTATAAAACAAAACAGGGAGAAATTCCAAGGCCCACATTGAGACAGAACCTCTCAGAAAACTCAAGTCTCACTCACCCTTCTTGTGTTTTCAAGAATTTTGGGGTCAGGCTTTCCGTAACTAGGTGGATTGGCATGTGGGTCGTACCCGAGCTTGGCCAGCATGGGAGCAATCACCGCCATATCCTGTAAGACATCCGGGGGTATCTTTCCAACCCACTTTGACAGTGCTGCCACATTGACTGGTTTGATGACTTGGTCTGTTGATCTCTCTACCCTGAAAATAAAAGAACATGGATGAATGTTTGCTCAGAATGTTAAAAACCAAAGGGAAATGGCTGGTTACCAAACTATGGAGAAAGAAGGCACTGAATCAGCCAGCTATAGGTTGTTTTTGAAAATGTCCTAAGGCCAACTGATAGGCAACATGGCATTCAGAGTACAGTGGCTCTGAAAGCATGGTCTGAGAACCCCTGACAGTCCCTCAGCCCTTTTCAGGGGGTTCACTTGGTCAAAGCTGTTTTTATAATGATACTAAGTTGTTACTTACCTAGTAAAATACTCCTCCCTTCTCCAACCACACATCTGTGTGAGGCCAGATTTTCCTAGTATACTTCAACCACAATATATCTCGACAGATCGAATGCAGAAGCAGATGTGAGAATTCAGCTGCCTTCTGTTAAGCCATATGCTAAAGAGATTTGCAAAAATATGTAAAACAATGCTACTAAATTTGTTTTAGAAAATATAGTTTTTTTCATAAACATATTTTATGTTGCTATGTAATGGATTTATTATTGTTCTTTTAAAAATGCATCCTTTTTAATTTCTAATATGGTAATTGTTGATAGGTCTAACCCACATAAACTAAAGCCTTTTGGGATCCTGAGACCAACAAATTGGGGAACCCCTAGCCTAGTGGAAAGAGAGCTCTGTGTCAGAACTTCTGGGTTGAAGTCTCATCTCTATCACATACTGATTGTGACTCTAGACAAGTCGCTTAACCACTCAATGCTCTGGGCACCTCCATTAAGACTACCAGTTGCAAAGAAAGGGCTCCTCTGTATTGGTAGACACTTTTCTCCCTACACTGCTTCCTACACTGATGAAATCACAGGGCCTATCAAAATAATGAAATGAGCAACTAAAGCTGTTGGCAATCTCAAACTCGTAGAAACAGGAAAAATGTTAACAAGTGAAAACATCTGCACAAACTGTGTTGACATTTTAATTTTATCTAGAGAATCAAAGCACAATAGACAAGGTTGCTAATGAAAACACCAGGTTATTCTGCTGCAAACGTAAAACTGCAGATTCCCTTCCTTCTGCTAGATTTCTATAGCTACATTTCTTTGGGTAATCATTAAGTAAGGTAGAAAAGTCAGAGCCAATTAGAAGATTCAGAGATGGCTGGTTTCTGCTAATTTGACGTTTACATCCAGCCAAGGTCCAACACAATGACTTCCTTTGCACCCAATTAGAACTAGGACTATGGAATTTCATCAAGTAGCTTGGTAACCTAATGATAGAAAACTGCTGAGTTGGGGGATCACCTCCATGAAAGAAGGCAGAGGGGGCAGAGGAGAGTTTGGAGAGTGGAGGTCCTGACACAGGAAACACACAGAGGGTGCTAACGAGAACTTCAACCCATCCTACATCATTCCAAAGACATGTTCTGTTAAGAGGTAATGACATTGTGATTTGGTGTAAGTCTGTACCTTTCCTTTGCTAGTAATCATTAATGCCTTTCTGACAGGACCTTTCTTTAAAAGAGTTTCATAAAAAATGAGCAATAGAGAAAAGAAGATGCCAGGAACTGGTAGAGGGGGAAAAACACCCCTATAAAATTAGCCGGCGCACCTCTACCCGGAGAGGACTTCTGCCAGACAATGATTTAATGGGAGAAATGGGACAGAAAGTACCACACAAAGGGCCGTGCACGCTTTGTAAAACCACCAGGGCTCCAGAGGGGTCATTTCAGTGATCATGGGAATAACCTCCAACGCTAAGCCATGAATATTTCTCAGCCCCCACTGGATCACTGTACTGTAGGCCTACAGTGGGATTTTTAACCCCGACTTGTGATTTCATTGGTATGGGGACTCCCAGTATGGAAAATCCTTTACCAACTGCTCAGCAACATCCAGGTGTTGAGACTTGGAGAGTGTCCTGGAGGGACTGAGAGGCTAAAGGACCCATCTGGCTCATATAGAGCAGGTGGGTCAGAAGTAGGACTTGAACCCAGAACTTCCTAACTCTGAGGCTGGCTCTCTAACCACTATACTTCACTGCCTCCTTCTATAGAGCAGGGGTTCTTAACCTTTTCTGAGCCATGGGCCCCCTACCTGCGCCCCCCTGCTTTGATGGACAGTCTGGTCTATGAGCCCTTCTTAGAATCATGTTTTCAAATGCATTAAATAAATTACATAGGATTATAAGAGGAATGTGATTATTTTGAAATATTGTAACCAAATATATTTAATAATAATGAACTAAATTAAATACTTACTTGGTATTAATACCAATTTAACAATAATAAAATACTTAATGATATATATTTTAAGTTCATGGTCCCCCGGTTAAGAACCCTTGATATAGAGGATATGGCCTATGTCTTCAAAGGAGCTCACAGTCTAAATGGGGAGATTAACAGATGTGAAAATACTATAGAATCAGTCGTATTGAATCAGTGGCTTCTGCCAACCAACGCTCTGATTTTATGCATCTTTACATGTATAAGACATTACATAATCACACAGCGTAAAGGATCCACACAGATGTGGACTGTCATGTTCAAGGAGCCTCGAGGAGGCCAGTGTAGCTGGATTTCAGGGCACCCGAAGGGAGTAAATGACTAGACTAGAAACGACTAGAAAGATTGGAAGGAATAGGGAAATACAAGAGTTTATTGACATGGTCAATAAACCATGGAATGACATGGTCAGACCAAATCAATTTGGCAGCTTCTAGATTGGAGTGGAGAGAGCCTTGAGAGGCAGGGAGTCCAATGTCAGAAGGCGGAGGGCCTGAATGAGGGTGGTAGCTATGTGAGTGAAGAGAAGGGACATAAAAAACAAGAGATGTTGTGAATATAGAACAAATAAGATTTGGCAACAGACTGGCTATGTAGGCTAAGAGTGAGAAGTCAAGCAGGGATGTGGATTATGAAGAAGATGGTCATGTCCTCTACAGGAACAGGGAAGTTCAGAAGAAAGGCAATGAGTTCTACTTTGGCCAATCATGATGACTATGATGAATCCAGAAAAGCATGGAAAAAAGACAAATGAATTGCTGCAGAGTCGAGTAATCAAAACCAGAAAAAACAACCCACACAACTACAACAATCCAAATGGAAAGACAACTACAATAAAACAAACAAGATTGAAGGCTGCAAAATTGGAATGACCTCGGCTGGCTCTAAAGAAGAAATAAAATGTTCCTCCCTCCCTTCTTGGCAGAGGGAGGGAACCAAGGGTGTGGAACATCGATATATGTCAGACTTTTCTGATATGTTGGTTACTTTTCCTGAACTTTTTTTTTCTTACTTTTTAAAAACGAATACTTCTTCTAAGGGATGATTCTCTGGGAGAGGGTAAGAGAGGGATATAGTGGGAAACACAGGTAATGTGAAAACAAAAGATATCAATAAAATGTATTTTAAAATAGAATATAATGAATGGGTAGTGAGGGCAAAAAGACCAACAGCAGCTCAGAGACAAGAGAAATCCGTATCGAATGTCACGTCATGTCCCAACAAAGGGACTGAACACCCCCAAGAAAAATATCCTGAAGCAAAAGCAAGGAATTATCCCCATCGTGCTTCCTGGGAAGCCTTCGCCTTTGGATTGACAGAGGTCTCCCAGGCAGCTCTTCTCAGAATCAGAGCAGGGAAGGACCTCCAAGACCATCTAGGCCAGCATGTACAAGCCTGAACCAAGAATACCCAACTGTCACCCGCCCAACCCTCTAGTGCTTCCAGTGAGGGGGCACCCAATATGTCTAATATGAGGGGGCAAGCTGGTCCAGTTGGGGGCAGTTCTAATTGTTAAGTGTTTCCTTGAAGGAAAAATGCACTTAGTTCTACTATACTCCAATTCAATTCAACAAGCATTTGCTAAGTGCCTGATATGGACAACTGAGGACTGAGATCAGATGAGAAGAGTCCTTCCCTTTAAAGGCACATTTATTTTTTAAAGCACTTTAAGGATGGCAGCATGCTTTACATGGATCACTAAACGTCTGTGGTAACAATCCAGGCAACAAGGGATGAAGACCTAACACTGGCAGGAGCTATGTAAGTAAAGAGAAAGTGTGGCTGTAGAAATGGCAAGATTTGGCAACTATCTGGCTCAGCGAATTACACTAAAGCTCTGAACCTGGCAGGCTCATGAGATGCTGACAGCTTTGATAAAAGGAGGCAACTCTGGTTGAGTGGAAGATTTGGGTGATGTGATGGACGGGATGAAAACAAGCTGTGCTCTGGGCACAGCGAGTCGGAAATGTCTCCAGAACATCCTGAATGAAACATCTAATAGGGAATTAGTTGGTGATGGGGCTGGATATATAGATGGGGGAATCATCTGCATAGATATGACAATGAAGTCCATGTCAGTTGATTAGATTACAGAGAGGGAGGAGGAAAAAGAGAAGGGGGGGAGAGAGAGACAGACAGACAGAGACAGAGAGACAGAGAGAGAGAGAGCCCAGAAAAGAACTTTGAGGTGTGTATACCCACAGTTAGGGGGCATAATAAAGATGCTGATCCAGAATAGAGACTGAGGCATGATCACACAGGAAGGAGAACGGGGCAAAAAGCAGTGTTACGAAAATTCAGGGAGGAGAGATCCTCGAGGAAAAGAGGGTGCTCAACAGTGCCAAATGCAGCAGAGAGGTCAAGCAGAATGAGGACTGAGAAAAGACCACAGGATACAGAGATCACTGATGGGTAACTTGTTGAATGAATGAAATCTCGGTAGATCACTCATGCTGAAACAATGATTGGGGCTACTCTGTTAAGTAAATGCTTCTGGTCTAGGAAGCAGATGTGTAATTAGAGATGAGGACTGAAAAACACAATTCTCCACATGCTCCTCATTCTCCCCCTATGATCACTCCTCTCCCGCTGGATCTCCATCCTCCCGGAATTAAAAATGAGCACCCTGCCCACCCTCAACGTTCTGTTCTTGGCCTTCCCTTTCTATACTTGTTCCCTTGGGGGGCCTCAACTACTCCCTTGGGTAAAATGATCATCTTTATGCAGGTGACTCTCAAATTTTA